CTTCCATTACCTCTGTATCTGTCTAATCGTGGATTGGAGGGTTTTGTTTTTCTTGTTTTGTTTTGCTTTCTTTTGATTTTTAGCTGAGTTCTTCCCTCTGAGTCTAACGCGCACTGGCATTTTACGGGTGTATGTCAAAGGGGGCTGAATGATCGAAGCCCGGGTCTTGATTTCATCATTCTCTCCTGCTCCCGTGTCTGTCAGATGTTTTTTCTCTTACTCTCTCCCTTCCACCCAAGTGCCAGGTCATCAGCTTACGTTGCCACCTCGTTACAGGTGGTGGTCCTTACGAACACTCCTTTGGAGTACCAGCTACAGGTGGGTGAGGTCTGTCACAGCCGTGGAATCAAGCTGGTGGTGGCAGATACTCGGGGCTTGTTTGGGTGAGTAACCCCTTCTCCTCTCCTCCTGTAAACCCTGCACGGCCCAGGCCGAGAGGCCTGTCGCTCTTAGCCGAGCAGGTTGACAAATCCGTTTGGTGCGAGTGGCACCAACACCACTCAGTTCCCAGCAGTGATGGGCTGAGTTAACTTGGCAAGTATTCACTGCACTGTGAGCGAAGAGGGAGCACCTGCGTACATGGCCTGGAGCCTCAGTTGTGCTTCTTCCCTGTCCAGGCAGCTGTTCTGTGACTTTGGAGAGGAAATGATTGTCAGAGATTCCACTGGGGAAGAGCCACTGAGCGCTGTGATTTCCGTGGTCACCAAGGTGAGGAGACCGGGACTTGTGATCTGCACATGGGCAGAACTGTCTCATCTCTGAACTCAGCTCTGAAGCCCACTCCTTTCCAACCAGGACTGCCCTGGAGTTGTCACCTGCCTGGAGGAAGCCCAGCATGGGTTTGAGAGCGGCGATTTTGTCTCCTTCTCGCAAGTCCAGGGCATGAGTGAACTCAATGACATGCGGCCCATAGAGATCCAAGTCCTAGGTATACCAGGGCTGGGGGTGGTGAGAAATGGTTGGCCAGAGCAGACGGAAAGTGATTGGTGGGTGAGGCTTGTCCCAGGTGCGCATTTCTGTGGTCTGAGCCGAATTGGAGGCCAGAAGAGAGGTGGGACTGCAATCTGAGCTGGGGTGCAGGAGAGACGGGCACGGGGTCTGACTGCAAATACGTTGCCCAGAAAGATGAAGGAAGAAGAACTTTATGGTACTAGTGTTTTCCATTTCCTTTGGGAAAAAGAAAACAAAACAA